TGCCACACTTGTAAAATTGTGCCACACTTTGCCATGCTAGTAAAAATATGCCACATTTGTAAAATTGTGCAACTTTTGGAAAAATATGCCACACTTATAAAAGTGTGCCACACTTGTAAAAATGTGCCGCACTTGTAAAAATATGTTACATTTGTAAAAATGGATTACACAAGTAAAAATGTGCCACACTTGTAAAAATGTGCCACATTTCTATAAATGTGCCGCACTTGTAAAATTGTGCCATACGTGTAAAAATGTGCCACCTTTGTAAAAATGTGCCACACGTAAATAAATGGGTCATACTTGTAAAATTGTGCCACACTTGTAAAAAGGTGCCACACTTGTAAAATTGTTCCACACTTGTAAAATTGTTCCAGACTTGTAAAAATGTGTCACACTTGTATAGATGGGTCATATTTGTAAAAATATGCCACACTTGTATAAATGGGTCACACTTGTAAAATTATGCCACAACTGCAAAAATGTGCCACACATATAAATGGGTCATATTTGTTAAAAATTGGTCACACTTGTACAAATCTGACACACTTGTACAAATGGGTCACACTTGTAAAAATATGCCACACTTCTACAAAATGGTCATTATTGTAAAAACAATTTGTGCCAAATGTGCCACACTTGTATAAATGTGCCAAACTTTTAAAATTATGTCACACTTGTATAAAAGTGCCACACTTGTAAAAATATGCCATACTTCTACAAATGGGTCATTCTTGTAAAAATGTTCCACACTTGTATAAATGTGCCACACGCTTAAAATTGTGCCACCCTTGTATAGATAGGTCACATTTGTAAAAATGGGTCACAATTGTACAAATCTACCACACTTGTATAAATGGGTCACACTTGTAAAAATCTGTCACACTTGATTAAACGGGTCACACTTGTAAAAATGTGTCACACCTGTATAAATGCGTCGCACTTGTAAAAATGTACCACACTTGTATAAATGCGTAACACTTTTAAAAATGTGCCACGCTTGTAAAATTGTGCCACACTTGTATAAATGTGCCATACATGTAAAAATGTGCCACCCTTATAAAAATGTTCCATACTTGTAAAATTGTGCCACGCTTGTAAAAAATGTGCCACACGTAAATAAATGGGTCACACTTGTAAAATTATGTCACACTTGCATAAATGTGCCACACTGTACTTTTAAAAATGTGCCACACTTGTGAAATTGTGCTACTTTTGAAAAATGTGCCACGCTTGTAAAATTGTGCCACTCTTGTAAAAATGTGCCACACTTAAATAAATGGGTCACACTTGTAAAATTGTGCCACACTTGTATAAATGTGCCAGACTGTACTTTTAAAAATGTGCCACACTTGTAAAATTGTGCCACTTTTGAAAAATGTGCCACTCTTGTAAAATTGTTCCACTTTTGAAAAATGTGCCACACTTGCAAAAATGTGCCACACTTACATAAATGGGTCCCACTTTTACAAATGTGCCACACGTGTATAAATGTTCCACATTTGTAAAATTGTGCCACACGCGTATAAATGTACCACACTTGTAAATGGGTGACACTTGTAAAAATGGGTCACTTTTGTAAAAAGGTGCCACACTTATAAAAATGTACCGCACTTGTAAAATTGTGCCAGTTGTAAAAATGCGCCACACTTGTAAAAATGGGTCACACGTATAAAAATGGGTCACGTTTGTGAAAATGGGTCGTACTTGTAAAAAAGTGCCATACTTGTAAAAATGGGTCACACTTGTAATATGCCACACTTGTAAAAATGGATCACTCCTGTAAAGATGGGTCACACTTGTTAAAGTTTGTCACACTTGTATAAATGTGTCGCATTTGCTAAAATGGGTCACACTTCGAAAAATGGGTCCCATTTGGTAACATGGGTCACACTTGATAAAGTAGGTAGCATTTGGAAAAATGGGTTACACTTTAAAAATTGGATCACGCTTGGAAAAATGCGTCACACTTAGAAAAAAGTGTCACACTTGGAAAAATGAGTCATACTTGGAAAATTGGGTCGCTTCTAGAAAAAAGGGGGTCACACTTGCAAAAGGCTCGTACTTCGAAAAATAGGTCACACTTAGAAAACAGGTTCCCACTTGGAAACGCGTGTCACACGTGAAAAAATAATGTTATGACACCACTTATCCTCAATAAGAGGATAGACGCATAAAAAACTGACGTCCGTTTGTTAATTTCACTTGGGTCATTTCTATTGCTTGCGTTTCTGCTTGAGCTTGTGCTTTCGTCGCTAGTGAAAACCAGGCTTTATGCGCCACAGGGCGCGAAGAAGTTGAGCCGGTGAAGGTGATTTGCAAGTCGTGCACTTGCAAATCCTGAATATGTCTGGCCATTGGTCCATGCAACAATGGATTCATAAATGACCCTAACAAGAACAACAACGACAACAAACGATCCAGATGAAAGACGTTACTTCAATCAAATTCTTTATTCCGTGATGCACTATTCATTAAAAAATATCTATTTGTGTAAAATAATTTCCTGTTCACTTATTTGGCTGCTTTTAGTTTCTTTGCCAGCGTGTTATTCTCCTCTTTCATCTGTTTGTAATCCCCTGAGATTCGTTCCAGGTTAGTAGCTGTGTTCTTCTGACTTTCCATTTCAATCTGTAAGGACAGTAACGTAGAACAGTCATTTACTCCCGCCAGCGGTATTCCAGCGGTCAAAAGTAGGATTGCAAGGACTGGAGAGAATCTTAAACCGAATCTAACGAGAAGTGCTTTTGAAAGGACACAGTACGTTATTGAGATAAAACTAACGGAAACGTTGAAAACATACCAAATACTGCTATAAATGGATTCATTTTCAGATTAAAATTGTATTTTCATCGCCAAGCTGGTGTAGACAAAATTGTGACTGACAGCTTTATAAACGAAACTACAGTTTTAACGACAGCAGCTTTTATGAAGAAGTGTTTTAAAAGCATTTAAATTCTACAGTGTGTCGATTAAACTGTTTTCTTTCATTACAAAGTATTGTCACACCTGATCCTCCAAATCTCTTATCTCTCTCACTATCAATCCAGTCTCTTCCACCGAGGCAATCAGCTCTTTACAGTTCTGAAACACGACAGAAGTAATAAGAAAGACGAGATAACATACTTTAGTAAATATCATAACGAACTAAAGACGACATAATGACACAATCTCTACTGCCGCTATTCAATGGTAAATCTCATCTCATCTTGGTGAATTTCATCTGGAGGCGGAGTTTTAACAAATTACGAGAAAACGATCTCATCGCTTTCTCAAGGCTATTTTACTTTAGTATCACCCAACTAGTGGACTAATGCAAATCCTGCATTTTAGTTGGCTACGCTACTAGAGGACTATTAGTAATAGTCCTCGAGTAGCAAAATTGGCGCAATCGAGCGTGA